GATCTGTTAGCTGAGCAGCACTCCCACTATGGGAGCACACTGACCACCAGGGGGTAGCTCCTGCGTTGAATGTCTGCCCCCTGGTGGTCAGTGCACATCATAGCATTTGGTCATTTGGTTGTTTGTCTGCTTAGGTTTTTGTATATATAGAAGATAGGTGTGAAACACTGCATTTCTTAAACGATGCTCAGCAATCCTGATTTGGCTAGTACAGAGACTAGAACCATAAAAAAATCCCATGAAATAAGCACTGAATTAATATTTACTCTTCTTATTTTAAAACAGGCCTCAGGCGCTAGCTGGTTTGGTTCAGTGGATAGAGTGTCAGCCTGCGAACTGAAGGGTTCCAGGTTTGACTCCTGTCAAAAGCACAAGCCTTTTCAGGCTCTATCCACAGTAGGCAGAATGACCAGTGGAACAACCAGTCGCTATGATTCGCGGTGACCTCCATGGGGCAGATGCTCAACGCAGGACCTGCCCTCAGCCCCAGGCCCCAGGCCCCCTGACCACCCCGCTGGCCGCCCCACAGATTGGCTCTGATCTCTAGTCAGACCTAGGGATCCTACCCATGTACAAATCTTGTGCACCAGGCCTCTAGTATGTATATGTGTGTGTGTGTGTGTGTGTGTGTGTATCTCTCTCTCTCTCTCTCTCTCTCTCTATATATATATATATATATATAATACACACACACATATAAAAAATATATATTTTTTAAATAGGCCTCAGCCCAAATTAATTCAGGGAAATCAAGTAAAGTCGAAACCTGCGTAACAGTGAATTCTTCATAACTTGATCCCTTTCCACATCATCATATTTATCTCCTCTAAGAACTCCCCTGTTAAAGACAAACTACTCCAAATTACTCCACATATTCTTTATACATTAAGAAACAGGTCATCTTTTATTAATAAGCCTTACCCTCACCCTTTTCTCCATTTAATTCTAAGGTTCAGCTTGAATTCCATATTTTCTAGGAGGTTTTCTCTATCTTCTCCATCGAATAGTGATCATGTCTTCAATGACACTTTTGAATATAGTCGTTATAGAACAACTTATGTAGCTATTTCGTTTTTCTGGATGTACATCTCCCTCACATGGTCATTAGAATGTTAAGAACAAGCAATGTTCTAGAGCTCTCTGTACTGCCCCAGCCTGCACAGAGCTGTCTATGTAATAGGAAGGTATCATAAAATTTAGTAGATGTGACAATGAAGCAGTGTACCACAGCAGATACAATTGAATATTCTTTCTCCTCTTTGGGAATCTCAATAGCCAAGTGGGGGTTCTATAAAATTACCCATCAGACTAATCTAGAAATTAAAAGTAGGAAGAGGCCAAGAGACTATCACATTAGAGCTGCTACTTTCCCTGCACTGGCTTTGGAGGCAGCAAAAAGGGAGATAAATCAATGTATCTGAAATGCCTTTGTCTAGCCTGCCACCAGAATATTCTCCACATGCCCATGGTCTTTAAATGGATTATGAATGGAACTTATGTTCCTGTACAGATCTCAGAGAATGCAAGTAAAAGTACTGTGCGAGCAGCAAACTGTTATCATAAACATCCAAGTGAGAACCACAATCATTCTCAATTGGGAAGTAACATAGCATAGTGGTTAAGAGTGTGTTCATTAGCATCAGACTGCTCATGTTCATCATGCTAGTTCTGCCGCTTCTTAGCTGCATGACTAGAGGCAAGTTACTTCTCTGGCCAAGCCTTCACCTATAAAATGGGAATGATAACAGTACTCGCCTCAAAGAGCTGCGATGAGGATTCATATAAGTAAAGCATTTAGAAAAGTGCCTGACTAAGCAAGTCTATATATATATAATTATTATTATTAACCATTACTATTATTCCTAATTCTTCTCAGTGACTCAACTTATCTAATTGGCCATCAAGTTCTATTGATTTTTCACTAAAATTTCTCTCAAATTAGTATCCTCCATTCCTATCAGTGTTTCAGTTCATATTATCAGACTGTAACAGTCACATTTATTCGATTCTCAAATTTATAAACAGAGTAATGATGAACCAATATTAGATTCTGGGGACAGAAATATGGAAACCAAATAAAAAGCTATAATTTCAACCCTCAATGATCTAGGGAACTCCAGAACTAATAAATCAGAAATTAGAGTACAGCAAGATTAGTGCACACTAGAGGAATGAATGCACATGGATGCTAAGGGAATATAGAGAAAAAGACTACAAAAGAGTATATCTGAGTTCTACTTCCCTCCAAAAGACATAGCATGGATTTTACATGTTCCCAAAAAACTATGAACACACCCCATCGGAGCACATTATATTGTGTTTATTGGATGTCCACAGCCATTGCAACTTGTGTAAAACAGACCTCTAATTCTCCCACCTGCAGTCTGCACTCAGCACACCTCCACTAGGCTCCTTCCCAGTCAAAAGGCAGTGCCTAAGGCAGTGCCAGAGGAGTCACCTTTGCCTCCTCTTTACCTC